GCTATGCTATTAATTTGAAATGTAAAATTTAGGAGGTATTATTGGTTTTTGTATTTTAATTTTTTTAATGAAATACAGTATTATTAGTTTTACAATTTTAAATTCATAATAAAATACAGTGTCATTGGTTATATAATTTTAAAATTTAAATATATTAAAAATATATATTTTAATTGAATTTAAATAGATTTAAAAAGATTTGTATGACTAAAATACAAAAACCCATATACAAAGTTTAACCTATAATTTGGATGAAATTAATTTTTTTCTTTTTTACTGATTTAAAATTAATAGATTTATTAAATCCAAATAAAATTTCTAGATTCATTAATATACAAGAACCAATAACTCTTATTTAGATATTATTTTTAATTACTATAAAGTTATGTCTAAAATACTATTTTGAATAATCAAATAATGCATCTAAAATCACTTTCACTCTAATATTAAATAATAAAAAAAACTAACGGGTGAATGTGATATATTTTTGCTAGCTATATAATGTATGTATAGCTGTTATTAAATACTCTTTTTGTTAAATCATTCACCAAATAAAGTAAATTTATGTATCAATCAAATAAAACAAAGTAAAACTTTTTTATTTGACGAGAAACAACCTCAACTTCAGATATCCATTAATAGTTAGTCGTCAACCTGAAATTAAGGACCTTTAACGCTTACATAGTTACATACTTACATTAACTATCCGACTCCGACAAGGTCGGGTCAACCCGTAAGTCGGAAAAAAATCGCAAAGAAGTGGTCACGTCGTTGATCCAAATCACTCAGTCTGATTAAGCCACGTGTATGGATCGCAACGAAAGTTCCTACTTCAGTCTCAGGCTTTGTAATGTCAGAGAGACAATGACACGTCATCAGTCAAAGACCAAAAGCCTTGTACCACGTGTACTTTTCGTACAACTTATATTAGCCCCATTCGATTCTTTTTTCTGTTCAAATATTATATTTTTCTTTATAAATCTTTTGTCGGGACTCGGGATCCTATTTTTAGCCAAAAGGAAGGGACACGTAGTAGGATGGTAAGAAACGTGGCGTGAGAAGAGTCACTGTCACGTGACTTGGAGACAGATCACGTGTTTAGGTTGCCCTCTTTGGGCATTGTTCGTTTCACCTCTTTTATTGAACCTTGATTCCCAAACTTTTCTCACTCTACACAATAATGCCTTCCAAATATCTGACAAGCATTTTTAAAAGGATTTTGTGATTCGTAAAATATTAGATTCGATTCTAGCTTAGTTATATTTGTAATGACTTGTATATATTCTTATTCATTTAGTAAAGGGAAAACACTACTAATGTTTTCTTTGTTAAAAGAAAATACGAGTAATGTTCTAAGAATACTTTGATCAATTACGTAGATAGAACACTACATTTTAATATGTCCAAATAGCTGAAAATAATGTTTTAGAATAACTAATTAAGTAAGTTTCACTCGAATACACCGATAAATTATCTTTCAATAGTTTTTGTTTCACAAAAAAATCATGTTGTATTTTAACTACATATTTTGAATACATTTTATATTTAATTGAAGGGTCTAGATTTTTGAAACGTACTTACTTGTATTGGCTAGTGATAAATAAAATATACATATATGTATTTCACATTTGTAATCAATGTATCAGAATGTTAACCATATATATATATACACACTACTTGTTACCGCATGAATAAGATTTTACCACTTATCTGTTACATCTACAAACAAATTTAGTCATTTTCAACATATACACACATTCACAGTTTTATTGAGTGGTGTGAGCTTACTATGATTTTATGTAGATCAAAATCTAATCCAAGATTTGAGTAGAAAATTGATAGAAAAGTAAAGGGAATATGGGATCACGTAGGAGTCATGATGGTGAGATGTACATAATGTTTGATGGAATCGTACAAGATATTAAATCTAATTTAATGGCCGGTCATGCATGGGGCATGCTCACTGTTTCCTTTGGAGGTGGCATTCTTATCATGTGTTATGCCGACACGTGTATGTATCTGTATCTAAACGTACATTCATCCGTATCCGTATACGGTATACACATTATCTTATGCGTATGTATGTTGGCAACAAAACTCTATTGGCACTTGCATGTACGTACGCATAACGAATTGTCGAATTTGATCAACAATTATTCCTAATTTACCTTTTGTGTTTAGATAGTCACCGTCATATGAATGAATGTATGATGCTTAACGTTTGGTCTTCTTCATTCTACAGGCTAGTTTAAGTGTGTAACATTCGATTAATTAAACCTAAACTGCCTAGCCTAAAGACATACATGTGTGATATTAGCAAGCAGGTTTTTATCCTAGTTGTGGAACAAATATCATTCTAATAGACTGACATAAAAATAGATTATCATTTCCCAAAAATATGATTAATTAATATATTTTGAAACTTATGAATTATTAATATGAATTACTAAAAGTGCAAAAAAATTTAAACCATTCTTGTTTTCATGAAACAATAATTTTTATTAAATCAGTATTTATAAACACATTAAATATATAAATTCACTAAATTCTGTTATTTTCTACTACTAAGTAATTGTTGTTTTTATATAATTTTATACATTTTTGATTAATATTATTTTAAGTCAGACCACAATTTTTCTTAGACGATCATTCTTTAAAATTGTTATCATTCTATGGCTTTTGAGTTTTTTTTTTTATATATAAAAAGGGCTTTCAAGGCTTTTGAGTTTTGAGAAGTTAATTGATGCAATAATCCAACTGTCCATAATATACTAATATAGTTTGGGGAAGTTGATTAGTTGTATGGTCGAGATGCTCCGAACATGGGAGGGAGACATCAAATTTGGGAGTTATAATAATCAACGTGAGCAATATAAGATATTTTCAAGAAAACACAAAAAAGCAAAAAGTAAAACTTGTGGCTGATAAAAAAAAAACTTGTGGCTGATATGAAACACTGCAGGATTGATCAGATAATTTTGAGGTCCACTTTCTCTCTCTCTTGTTTTCTGAGTTGTAAAAAACTATGGTCTTGACTGTTTACAGTTTTTAGAATGATCATTGGTTTTAGTTTTTAAAAAACTATTTTTTAGTTATTTAAGTTTGTAAACAAATAGATTTTCTAAATTATAGGAAAACTAATTTTTCATGATTTTTAATATTTTTGGATATTATCTATTATTTTCATAAGAAATTTGTCTTTATTAATAAATTATATTTATTTGGTTTTAGTACTGTTTGATATTATTTTAAATATTTAATACAACAAAAACTAAAATCAAAAATCAAAAATCAGATTAACATATTATTATTGATAAATCTCATATATTTGTTTTAATTTTTTAAATACACATAAAATAAATTTTATCTCCATTTTATTTTAATTTACGTCACAAACTTATTTATATTTTTACTGATAATTTTATCATTAATTATATTTTTGTAAATTTATTAATAATAAATATATTAAAAACTAAAACTTATAAACATAACAATATTTTTTATAAAACAAATTGTAGATAAAAACCAAAAACTAAATAAATTACCATTCAAGTTTTTTAAAAACCAAAATCTACTGCAAAAACAAAAACCCAAAATTAAAAACCAAAAACCAAAAACTCCAAAAAACTAAAACCAAAAACCAAGAACCAAAATCTAAAACTAAAAACTACATAAACATTCATCACCTAAAAATATTTATGATCAGCAATCATTCCATTGTCGACGAGACGACCAACAGTAAACAGTATTATACATAATTTGATTGATATTGTTAAAAAATTTGATATTTTAAAAAGAGATTTACGGAAACGAGAAGGGTAGACTGTGAATATGTTAGTCTTTGTCATTCTCCGAAATGTTTTTTTTCTCTTAAATACATCCAACAAAAACTTGATTCTTGACTAACAAAAAAGAAAAGAAAAGGAAAATAAATAAAGGAGAGAGTATAAACGAGAGAGGTGGAATTGCTTCTAGTTTTAGTAAAGAAGCATAAGCAAGTCTCTCCCTTTAATGTCTTTTAACGTTACTATTCCCAATTTGTTCCAACATGTCTTCTTCTTCACAGACACTTACGTTTTATCCCTTTCTCTCACCATGTAAAATATCCAAATTCTCATTCATTACTTTTCCAAAAAAAATATATTCTCTTCATTTCATTTTAATTGTCATTTTAGATGATTTCACACAAATTAAAAAAAAAATTAATTTTTCTGTTTTACTTTTAATTAATATATCATTTTATTTAAAAATAGTAATTAATAAACTTAAGAAAATAGAGATAAAATTGAAAAATTTATCATAAAACCGTATTGAAAATATAAAAATGATAATTATTTTTTTAAAAAATAAGTCTAAAACAATTACAAAAAAGAGGAAGTATTATATTCTTCAATTTAAATGAGAATTTTAATACCTGAAAATAATTATACTCCTAGCTTAATTTGCTCACCAGAAAAGAAATTTGATGATGAGTGATTTATAATAATGACTGAGATTATATATATGTGTTCCCATTAGTTCTGGAATTTTTATATCAAAAACGGATGATAAAATAGAATAACAATTAAAGTTGGATTATCTGTTTTGTCGTTTTTCAGCGTATCTAAAGGTTCTTCCTTCCACCGCCTTCGGAACTCAAAGAGAACTTAAAGAGAAACCAATTTAGTATTATCGCAGCCGCTCGCTCACGGAGCTGTCACGTAAAGTAACATAAGAATCGTCCACGTTATCAAACTTAATCGGCGTGGTAAAGTCTTACACCGCTGTTTTCTAACACGTATCTCACAGGCGGGTCACGCGAGCTACTCACCTTTGATTTAACCGCGGTTGAAAAAAGGCTGATAAGTTAACCATGGTTAAATATTAACCAAATCGTGGTTTAAGTATTTCCCACTACTCAGCATCAGTTTATATAGAAGCGAAGCTTTGCCGGAGATTTAGCAAACACAAACAAACCACAACGGAGAAGACGAATGTGATTTTCTTTTAATAAAATAAAAATGATGATCGGAGAAACTCATCGTGTTTATCCAACTGTTCATATTCCTCCATGGCCACTTTCCGACGATCTAACGGCGGCGGATATTTACGGAAGCCCTGACGGCGGAAACAGCATGATCGAGGCTTTGGCTGCTTTGCAGCGTTATCTTCCGTCGAACGAGCCAGATCCGGATTCAGATCCGGATTTATTGGGTCCGGATTCTCCAATCGACGCTTACTCCTGCGATCATTTCCGGATGTATGAGTTTAAAGTCAGGCGATGCGCTCGTGGCCGGAGCCATGACTGGACGGAGTGTCCGTACGCTCATCCCGGAGAAAAAGCTCGCCGTCGAGATCCGAGGAAGTATCACTACTCCGGTACGGCTTGTCCCGATTTCAGGAAAGGCGGTTGCAAAAAAGGTGATGCCTGTGAGTTTTCTCACGGCGTTTTCGAGTGTTGGCTTCATCCTGCGCGTTACCGGACTCAGCCGTGTAAAGACGGTGGTAACTGTCGCCGTCGTGTTTGTTTCTTCGCTCATTCGCCGGACCAGCTTAGGGTTCTGCCGAATCAAAGCCCCGATCGAGTAGATTCGTTTGAAGGTGTGTCTCCGATACGCAGGGCGTTTCAGTTTTCGATTTCCCCGACGTCTGGCTCGCCGCCGGTGAGTCCACGAGACGACTCGGAGTCTTCTTCCTCACTGAGTCGTTCACTCGGGTCTGGTTGTGTGAACGACGTCGTTGCGTCTCTGAGGAATCTGCAACTTAATAAAGTGAAATCTCTTCCTTCGTCCTACAACAATCAAATCCGATGCTACGGTTCCGGGTTCGGGTCTCCACGTGGATCACTCTTGGGTCCCGGGTTTCAGAGCTTACCAAATACCCCGACCCGACCCGAGACTGGGTATATGGACATTTGGGATTATGGTTTGGAGGAAGAACCGGCGATGGAACGGGTAGAGTCCGGTCGTGAACTGCGAGCGAAGATGTTCGAGAAGCTGAGCAAGGAAAACTGTATGGAACGGGTCGACCCGGATCCGTATCAGGAATCCGGTGAAGCTCCCGATGTCGGGTGGGTCTCTGAGCTGGTGATGTGATAGAACCCGACCCGTACCCGGATATCTGGATATGGTGGATAAGGAGTAACTAAAAGAATTATTATCCGTTCATGGATTTTCTCGGAAAAAATTATGTGTAAATATTTCTTACTAATTTCGCTAAAATATATATTATACCGATTATCGGGGGAGACTTCTCAGTGTATATAGTTGCTTAGGATTTTTATTATGATTAATCTCTAAGATATAATATGAATCTTGTTCGGGTTTTTTTTTTTTTTTTTTTGTTCCTTTCGATTTTATTATGTTAGATGCAACTCATGTAATTTATGAATTACTATTATTGAATATAATGAGAATGTATATTATTTAGTTTTGTTAACAAGTGGACATTTCTTTAAGGTTTTCCATTGAAGCAGTGATTTGTCTCGTTCTGTTTATTTAGGCATGCGTTAAGGTGGTGTGAGTGATGTGATTAACGCACGTAAACATCATTATCGGAGGCTGTGATTATGTCCTAAACAATTCGTTGATCAAATTTTTTGTTGGAACAAAAATATTGGGTCTTACATTTTTGTCATTGTCGAGTTTGGGATGGGTCGTTGTACTTGTGTGTCCTTTAGAGAGTATATAAAACGTTAAAACAGAAAATTATACTAAAAATGAAAATTAATTTTAAAGAGTTTCTACTGCATTTTGAAACATATTTCTACAAAATAGTAGCTTGTTCAAGCAACTTTTTGAACGTGGATAAGGTTGAACAAGCTACTATTTGCTTGAACAACACATTGTTTTGATAGATCGTTTTGTGTGGATAAGGTTGTGAACTACGTTCTCGTTTGATGGTATTGAAAAATACACACCTGGTTTAGAAAAGCAGCTGTAAAACAATTAATATACAATAAATGCTAATGAAGTATTAGTAACTTTTTGTGGAATAATCAAAAACAAGTGTCGTATTTTTTGGTTAAAGAATAGGATACTTCATCTTTTTAATGTCTTATGCTAATATTTTTGTAAATGCTTCAAATAGTAGTATAAACTAATGATAACGACGTACTCTCAACGAAGCCTTTTATTTATTTTGCTTCAAAGTTTAAACTCTTATTTTTTTAGACTTTTCTTTGAGTATTGACTTTTTGAAATAGTCATAGATCTTATCCGAAGGGGTTATAAGAGGCATTTTAAAAAGGTTGGAGTTTTATAGTATAGTTTAATTAGATCGTTTTATGATTAAAGGAGACATGTGGGTCCATTGTTAGATACGCAAGCCCCGTATTTCTTTCTTTATTTTGACGAAATAGAACTAATTATTAATTAAATTATTGTGAATGTAGTAGATTAGATTAGAGAACATGTAATTTTAGATATGGTTAACAGAGGAAAAGTCCAAATTCGTAGAGTTGCGTAGTGATTATTAGTCTACACAACTATAATAATTGATCGAGAAAAGAAGAAACCTGTACTGTACGAACTCATTATTATATCGGTGATAATGCTAATTGCTAAGTAAAAGTCGAACCGAATTATCGTATTTTTATACAGTCCAGTTATATATCTTTATCAGCAACTTTGGAAATTAGAATTTTTGTTTTTTCAACAGCTTCAACAATTTTTCTACAGTAGTAGTTGAGTTAAATTTACATAATAAAGATGATAATTGTGATTTTGAACACTTTGTGTTAACTTGTCCACTTCATAAGTTTTCATTGCGTGTCTTCCAGCATCCAGCTTACAATGCATTATCTATATGAGGGTCTCTAGCTCTGTGTGTAAAGGTGTCAAACTCTTGTCCATCTTTGGAACATCAATTAACGTACTTGACATATTCGCATCTTCACTGAACCAACCTAAACCTGTGTTTGGGGCATCCTCTTTCTATGATCTATCAGTGTAACAGAGGATACCCTGGGATGACTTGACATATTCGCATCATCTTAAGTGTTTTAGTTTTGGTAGACACTTAATTGTCCAAACTTTGGTCTGTATATGATTAATATCTAGTCCATAAATTCTTAAGAGTTCCTTATCAGGGCATAATTATTCTGTCAAATACCTCGATTTAACAGTATACCTTCCTGTCTTTGTAAAACTCCAGCTCATCTATTTTTCTGTTGTATATGTGTTATTGCCATTCCAATAATCAAAGGAATATCTTCTAGTACAATCAATTGTTCAAGTAGTGAGATATTCTACATTGAAGTTACATGATCAATCAACTAATTGACTATTAGTTTAGGGTAAAAATTAAACCTTTTGCATGTTGCTGATCTCGGACGTGATGATAGAATCCATTAGGATTTACTTATAGATATTAGATTGTATATGGTTTGATTGGCACTTACCGTCATAAGTCATAAGAAGACGTTAGGAAAAAAAAACGGATATTAAACTTGCTAGTTTCTTGAAGATCAAGGCACTGAATTATGAACATGAACGTTTTGATGCTTAAACCAATAATGCATTGACGAATTATCCTTTGTAAAGAAAAAAAACTAAAAGTCATTCAAACAACAAAACTAAAACAAGAAAAGAAACAAATAATTAGAAAACATCCCTGTCTACTTGATCAAAACTGAAGAAAACTACAAGTTGAACAAAAGACTAATCATAAGCAACTCCTGGAACAAACCACTGAGAATTGTTTATATAAAAACAAGATGTCTTGGGCCATTTGATTCTTCCTGTAGCGATATCAAAAACACCACAATTATGATCTTGATAATCTGACCAAACATCATCATTAACAAACAGTATTGAACCACTCTTGCTTCCATCACCATTACCAAGATAATCTCTAACCGGTGCTTTTACCGAAACCCCATGACCAAAAATCAACATCTCGCCGTCTCCAAGAGAATCTACTCTTTCCCACTTTAAGCTCTCACGATTCATCTTGAATACGTAAAACAAAAGCTTCTCTTTGTGTTCAATCACTTCTTTTAAGCTCAAGATAACAAGAACCTCTCCTGATTCCTCAATCGCTATCTTCCTCGCACAGACGTATTCCGACGGTTTCTCGTCGAAGCAAAACGGATGGTTCCGGTACGGGTTTCCTTCTCTACTGAAATCTCTAGAGAAATCGAAAATCTTGATGTGCTGATCAGTTGTCAACACATAAAGCTTGCTGTTCCTGTAAGCCGCATCAAGAAGACCCGAAACACTGTCTTGAAGTGTCAGATTCGTCCAAGACTCATCTCCGTTACTGATTGAGAACAAGTAGCGCTGTCTGAAAATACAAGCAACGAAGTAAGAACCTGTTGCCTCGTCTATCCAAAGAACAGCTGAGCTTATCCAGCCTCGTCTTTCTACTCTCACAGTCCCATCAAGAATCGCCGATATTGATGGAAGACTGATCCTTTTGCGCGTTAACAGGTTAAAAAGAAAGAGATCGTAGTATGAATCAGCCATCAGGAGCCAACTCCAGTAGCTAGTCATACAATAAGAGTCCCTGTATCGGTAACGAGATAAACAACTGGTCCCGAAATGTGTAAATCTTCTCGTCTTCTTTTGCATCGAACCACCCGGAGGAAGCCATGTTTCCCCTGTTTTGTTTTCTTGTGCAAGTCTTGTCTTCGAAAAAGCTACCTTGGTGTATGATCCGCAACGGTCACGGAGGCCGATTAACGCATGTTTTCCACACGGAAAACCAACCTAAGCAGACGAGTTTTGCTCGGTGAGAGTCGAGAGGGCTTAACGTTTCCATGATCTTTCGCAAGACGCCGGGACAAAGCTTTGACCAATCGCTGCCTCTCTTATTCTCCCTTGTCATCGAATCCTTGGGCGTATCCATGTCGACCATTGTCTGCGCCTTACCTCCCGAGAACGCTAATGAAACTAGGGTTTCCCATGACTTTTTTTTTTTTTTTTTATTACATATATAAGTAAACCCTATCTAGTGCTACTTCACAATTATATTATCAAATTACATAATTTCAGTGGCCTATTGTTAATAAAAAATTATTAATGTTTGATGGTTTTTTTTAGTATGGACTCGGTAAAAGAAAAAAACAGAAGTTAGCCCAATTCATTAGGTTTAACTTTGTTTTTGAAAAACTGTGATTTATTAATACTTTTTATATTAGAGTTTTCTTAATTAAATTTTCATAATATACAATAATCTCTGGCCGCTGCATATATACTGATGTTTTTTGCGTCAGTAGTTTTGGTTTTGAAAGAGAAGCTTAAGAGGTATAAGTTTAATATTATCCCAAATTAGCATTATATAATTACCAAACAATATCTCGAATATCTTTTAATATTAATTAAAAGAAAACCCTAGCCATAAATTTAATATATTTTTGGTTTGATTCGAAATGGTTTTTCTTAGATGTTTCAGATGATGATGATGTCTCGAGTCTGAAGTCATTCAAGTACGAGCTAGTAGGAAGATTCTCACAAGGAAGAAGCATCAGGTACCGAGTTCGATCACCGACTACAAAGAATTCAAAGATCCTGATTCTATTAAATTAATATATTTCTGAGAATTTACAAAACCAAGCATAACAACTTTTCTAGATTAACACACGATTCATCAAACAAACGCAAAGTAAAAAAATCATTCATAGTGTCTGAATAATTTGGCAGGCACGTATACATATCTCACCAAGTCAAAACGGCAGGGAAGGTACTAAGTCGTAAGCAAGAAGAAAGTTTTTGTAAAGAAAATGTAAAGAAACATTCAAATGCAAGGTTATAGAAAACAAGCTCATGAATCAATTGTATATAAAAAATAATAATTGTGTCCGATCAAAATTTGACTCGGATCGTTTATATACATATAATCTTCCTTTCTGTTTTAAATAATGCACACACACAAAGCTCATCAACGGGTTTTAAACATGATGACGTTGAAGTTACCTTTTTAGAGAGCCATCTCAGCCTGTAGTGCAGCGAGCTCATCTTCATCAGCGGTTTGTTGCTTCTGAGGTCCAGTACGAGCAGGTTGCTTCTGAGGTGGACCGTTTTGAGCTGGTCTTGTCGGCTGAAGAAGTTGCTCTTCAAGCTCCTCGCTTTCAAGTTCTTCGAGCTCTGCTTCTAACTCATCCTGTAGTTTCCCCCAACAAAAGACAATAGTTGAGAAAGCTGAAAAAGATAGTGTGTCGAGTATGATCGTGGGGAATCTACAAGGAAAAGCTTACCTCATCGAAATCAGCAGCAGATCCAAATGGAGCCGACAATGCTTCCTGGATCTGTTTCATGTTGTCGGTTTGCTCATTGATCTCATCCATCGTCTTGTCAACATCGTCAATGTTTCTGCAAAAACACAAAGGCAAAACTTAGTCGCTGCTCAAGTCATATGTACTTTTTTTTTTGTAATCATAAAGAAACACATACGTTGCTTTCTGCATAGCTTTCATTGCAGAAGCTCCAGTCCTCAAAGCATCTACAGTCTCTGTTGTTGCTTTGGCACCTTCTAACATAATCATCTGTTATACACACACACAAAACGGTGATACATTCAATTTCGTAACATACTTGATAAGTTATGGAAGAAAAAAAGAAAGAGGCTTTACTTGATCATGGATACGGAGCTGGAAATTCCCAAGCTGTTCAACTTGTTGCTCGTATAACCTCTTCCTTTTCAAGCACTGTATAGCCGCTGCACGATTACACACAGAGTTACGCATAAGATCATCTCTCTCTCTCTCTCTCTGGTGAGTGGTGACTAACAACGCAAAACACATTCTTCAAAACGAAAGTTTTACAAGTCTTTACCGCGTTTGTTCTTCACCCGTGAGAACTCCTTTGCTTTCTCAACTTCTGCATTAGCTTTCTTCAGCAGAACATTTTCCTTCTTCTCTAGCATCTCAAGAGTCTTTGAGGAGGAAGATGAACAAGGGTACATTTCAGAAACCAACCAAAAGAAGCATTGAACAAAACCCAAAAATACAATAATTAATAACAAAAAAAGGCAGAGAATTTAAAATAAATCGAACACAGAAGAAACAGAGGATCGAGTGGTGATGATACCTCATTAAGCTTGTCTAATGTTTGGAGAGTGTTAGTCTCCTGCTTGGGTTTCCCGAATAGCCGATTCAACATTGCTGATATCTTTTGATTATAAACTCGCAAACTACACAAATCGAAAAACAATAAATAAATTAAGGAAAAAAACTTTGGCCGAAACTGTTTTCGGAAGCTTAACTCTATAGAACATAAATCGGTGAATCGAGCGAAGCGAAATTAGGGTTTTTTAAAAAAAAACTGGGTTCCGATGTGAAGATTTAACAATTAGGAAAGGAAGAATTAGGTATTATTGATCTCTGAACTCGATTCGTAGACACAAACCTGAGGGATTTGAATGCGAAAGCTTGCTTGATTGAGATTGAGATTGAGATTGAGATTGAGATTGAGAGATGAGATTAATCGAGCGATGAAGAAGAAACGGCGTTTGAAGTTTTCTCAATTTATAAAAAAAACTGAGGATTTGGGTTTCCTAATCCTTTTCTACTTTGCAATATAAATCAATGATATCATGATTAGGATATTGATGGGTTCAACTTATGTGGTAATAATAAATCAAAGAATACACAAGTTTCTAAATTTTTTACATTTACCTTTAAAATTTATTTAACAATAAACCATGATCCGGACAAGTGACAGTCTGGGCTTAATAAAAAGCTGTTGGGTCAAGGCCCATGAAAAATCATATTCTCTGGTGTAGCATTTCCGGCTATGTTAACCCAACTGGATATTTTAGATAATTTATGGCCACATATTAAAAAAAAAAAAATATATTTATTGGATTAACAAATTTATGTTTTTAAATATAAAAAATGTAATTTTTTTTGTTTTTGTTTTTAGATCACTAAAATAGTTGGACCGGCTTTGCATTCCGCCGATGGAATTCGACGCCAACCTGCAAGCCACCAAAACCTTCTTCCACGAGATTGGGCACGAAGGTTTCAACAAGGTCTACAAGGTGAAAAAACACCTAACGAGCCACTTGTGCTCGTGTTTTCTCTCGTTGTGTCTTTGGAGTTAAGATCTATTACTATTGTTTATGCTGTATATGGGTGTGTATGGCCATTTTTTTTGTTGGTGTTGTAATTTTGCAAATTGGGGTTTTTTTTATTCATTTGGTCTCAGTGTGATCTATTTTTTTTGTCTTCCTGATAATATGTTTATTGTTATGTAGGACCAATGAAAAGTTGTTATTTTATAAATTCTCCTTTTTTTTAAAAAAAAAGCTTGGCTTCTAGTGATTAAATTAAGATAATTTTAATATTGTATAAAGCTGAATTAATTAAGTATATTGAAAACTTGGATTCTGAATTTGTTAACGGAAGGGTTTATCAATCTACAATTATTCGAGTAATTTTATGAATTAGCGAATGATAACATTATAGATTATATAGAAAGAAAGAAAAACATTTTATGGACCCTCACATGCATGATCTTATACGTTTCCGGTTAGTGTAATGGAATTGGATTTTTGAATCAAACAGTAAGGTAAAGAGGGAAGTGAAAGAGGAAACAAAATACACTTTTCAAACAAAGCATTAAACGTAAAAACACATCACCATCATGAATTTCTGACATTTTGCTTGGACTTCTCTTGATTAGTCTGAAAACTGCTTAACGAAAAGAATTTTTACTAAAAACCGAGCGAAACAGAAGTTGGTATCTCAACATTAAATCCAAAAAAGATTTCTAAATTCATCAAAATACAAGAACTAATAACCTCTACTAAAAGTATATGATTTTAAGAAATTCTATCAAAATCTACCCAAATTAAGACTATATATATTTAATTTATATACGACTATAAATTGTTCCGGGCTATGCACGGGTTGTATATTTTATTTAGTTTTAGTTTGATAAAATTTAAAGTTGTGAAAACTGAATAAAGAAGAGAAAATTAAGTTAAAAAAAGAAAAAAAAAATTGTTTCAGCCGTACATAATTAGGTTCTATCCCATTTTATTTCAGATTTCGCTAAGAGTAGTTAATAGTATTGAGGTTTCTGATTTTAATAGTAAATCATATAAAAGCTAGAGATCTGAAAAGTATGTTAATGGTTTTATATTCTTAGTATTAGGTCATTTTGGTAGAAGTGAAAATGTACGTATACTACAAAAGTGTTCTTGTGTTCTTTGTTTTGCTCGGACGTCTTTGGATTAGTCTGAAAACTGTTTAACGAGAAGATTTTTACTAAAAACTGAGCGAAACGGAAGTTGGTATCTTGGCATTTGGTACAAGAGCATACCGGAGTCAGAAAGAAACTATGTGTGGGTTAACAATGGAGACAAACCTCTCGAGAATGATAACGCAATCTTCCAGATCTCTAGCTAGGATTTCGTTATCCGATCTAATAATGAAAGTGACGCCATACAACGGATATAATAGGAAGAGGAGGAGGCGAGAGGTCTCCCGAGGTGAGTTATAGATTTAACATTGTTTGTTAATATAATATGAATATTTAAATAAAGGAAGGTTAAAGATTATCACAAAAGAAAACTAGTTCATATGCAAGACACAGAAAAATATTATATAAAAAAAGAAAATTAGAATAGAACCATTGCATTTTACGTATTAAATAAAATAATATTAACTTATCATTTATCATATGTAGTATATCTCTATATATTTTAGCACCAAAACAGATTGGTCTCCTATATTCTATGATATAACAATAATTATTTTGACCCCCCCCCCCAAAAAAAACAATAAATATAAAAAAAAAAATCAACTTCTATAAAGGTTACCTTTTTTTCTTCTTCCATAAAACGTTACTTAGGTGTAGGAAAATGAAAAGCTCATTATTTTATCTTCCACTTACCAGTAGGTATAGGTGGAGCATTCTCTATTCTTTTGAAGTAGAGTCCATCCAATTTGGCTATCAATACACGTAACTGATTACATGTAGTAGCTTTTTCATTATATACTTCAACATCACAAGAATACATCATATTAGGTCCGCGGTTAAGGCGACACGTCATCATTTTTGGTTGTTCACCTTGCACGAATGTAATGACTCTCTCTTCATTAAACTTCAAATAACCGAAGTTATAATCGGTGATATTCGAAGTGCGTTTGCCTTCTTTGGTAATAGTGATGTTTGTGAGTTTACAATGACATAGGATACGATATCCAGGAGCTATTTGGCTCTGAACTTTTATAACAGTTGGTTTACATGCTTCATTCATCCCAAAATATATAGCAATAACCAACAAAAAAATTACCAAATAATTCATTTTTGCTAATTAGAAGATAATTTCTAGATAAAAAAAAGCCAATAATGTGCAATTTTTATAGTTATTGTGGGTGTGATAAAAAATAATAATTACGTATTTCTATTTATAGAATATTCTATTTATGACATTAGCTAAATTTAAAAATTAATATGAACCAATTAGAATTTCAGATTGAATCCAAGTTTATTGTGAGTAACCAATAAGACCAAGCCAAATCAACTGACCTTTAATGATGGTTCACCACTAAAATAAAATAAAAAAGAAACTAAAAGTATCGGATTTTAAAGAAATCGATCAAAATCTACCTAAATTAAGACTATAAATTTAATTTATATACGATTATAAATGGTTCTACGCTATGCACGGATTGTATATTTTATTTAGTTTTAGTTTGATAAAATTTAAAGTTGTGAAAACTGAATAAAGAAGGAAAAATCAAGTTAAAAAAGAAAGAAAAAATTATTTCAGCCGTACATAATTAAGTTCTATCCATTTTGTTTCAGATTTTGTTAAGAGTGGTTAATAGTTGAAGTTTCTGATTTTAATAGTAAATCATATAAAAACTAGAGATCTGAAAAATATGTTAATGTTTTTATATTTTTAGCATTAGGTCATTTTGGTAGAAGTGAAAATGTACGTATACTACAAAAGTGTTCTTGTGTGTCTTTGTTTTGTTTGGCAATGCTTTGGTATCAAGCGATCGTGGCTCTATTAGAATAATTGAGATGTCGGTTTAGATATCTTGGATTAGATTCATTCCGGTTTAGTCTACTCAACCATTTCTCTCTACAATATAATGAAGTATCTGACAAGTTTCAATACATATTCAAAGATTTTATGCGTTTCAGATATTTTACCCACAAAATTGCAATCAAGCCCTCATCATATTTACAGAATTCAAGATTAACGCTCGAGTTTTCTAATCGCAAAATTAGCCTACAGGGAAAGAAAGTAACATGAAAGCACAACATTTTCCCACACCAAACAGTAAAGAAGACGACAGAGAGGATACAAGAAAGACAGCATCTGTCTAAAACAAAAATGGCTTTCCCAAGTGGAAAAGCTTTGACTGAACAAGAACCATGCTGATATCGCGATTTCAGCATGTTAATCTCGTGAGCCTGTTGGGTTGGACAATCCACAGAGAAGAGATGCTCTTGGTCTACGAACTCCTCGAGAATGGAAATCTTGAGACTCACCTCGAGACCAAAGCTCACTCAACAAGGCTCGAAGTGATCAAGAGTGTGAAATATAATAAAATAGAATATATTATTATTGAGTTGTTTGTGTTGATTATACAAGATAATAAGATACATATATATAGTGATTAACAATAACATATTGTTAATACCATATAATGTAAACTTTACTAATCCAAGTCTAACACATTTAATATAACGTTTTGGTCTTCAAGTCTTTCCGTTTAGTTTTTATCAGTTTACGGGCTTCACTTCATAGGCGATCTACAAGATACACATCTTGTGACCTAAGTTACTCCAATACTCCCGCACGACAAACATGATATGTGAAATCATCAAACAAAACATGTATGTCGTGGACAATCATATCGAGGATGGACAAACCGGTCAACTGACGCTTTCGGGTACAAACTTCAATCTTTATAGGGATGGAACTTCAATTTGTCTTTGGTCTTGAAAGAGAAAGAGAATACTAACATCTCGTCGGTGCAGATTTATACAATTCCACAAATAATTGTCCTATTTCGGACAATCCATAAATTAGACTAAAAAATGACCTAAAACCATGAAAGTTTCAATAGAAATCCCAAAACCAAAATCAAACTCCCCTGTCATAAGAGAAGCTAAAAGATATAGAAATTTCTAAAAAATTCTCATAAAAATTAATCTTAAAAAATAAAAATTGTGAAAAATCCCAAACCTTCAAAACTTAATGATTCATCCAAGATCTTGACAATAGTGTGTGATAAAACAAATCAGAAATCAAAATCCAAACCAAAAACTTTTGACTTAAAAACAGATCGAAAGAAACAGAACAATAAAACCAAAAACCATTCACTTATTAATTAAAAATTTGACGTGGACAAACACTAACACCACGGCTTGACGTCGTCATCTGGATCGTCTCCGTCACCACCATCTTCTTCAACAATCGTTGACTTATCAAAATTACTGATACGGAATTTTAACTTCGATCCGCTAAAATCAAGACTCTGATACCATGTGAAATATAATAGAATAGAATATATTATTATTAAGTTGTTTGTGTTGATTATACAAAATAATAAGATACATATATATAATGATTAACAATAATATATTGTTAATACCATATAATGTAAACTTTACTAATCCAAATCTAACACATTTAATATAATATCTATTAGTCTTCAAGTCTTTCTTTGTGTTTGGAGTGATGCTCCTTGAGATTGTCACAGGAAAGAAGAACACGACCTTCTCTTACGTCCGCTCCTCCACGAATCTCCTGAGTTTCGTAAGTCATTTTCTTTCCCTTCCTTTTGTTACTGTGTATGAGAGATCCCACTTCTAATATTGCTCCTCCCACACAGGTTTGGAGTAACTGCAGGGATGGTCACTGGAGAAGAACCGTAGAAGAGTCTATCTTGGACTCATCAACCAATGATGATCAACTCGAAAGGTGCCTGAAGATCGGACTCGGCTGCGTACAGGAGATCGCAGAGGACAGGCACAAGATGTCGCTAGTCGTCGCACTTCTAGAGAACCAATCCTTGGAGATTCCGGATCCTGGACAACCGGGATTCTTCTCGGCGGCGGCGGCTCCTCCTACTTCGACGAGACATCAGGGAGAGTCTTCGGCTAGAGCTTCGGTGAACCAGCAGACACAGACGATGATCAGTGGGAGGTGAACCAGTTTCATCCATGGCCAAAACCGCTCCTCCTAGCTTGAGGACAATCCCTTTCAAAACAGAGCATAACCTCCTCTGCTAGCTCCATCTCTATCCAGAAAATTTGGTTTTTTTAGGTCATAATCTCATTCGTTTCTTGTTCTGAGTCTCACATCTCGTCTACCTTTTTCATAGTGACTTTACCATATACATTTGTCTAGTGAATTAATCGGTTTAGTATGATGGCTTCGCTTATAGAAGACTACAGAAGTCAGTACTTGCCTTGCGGCCAAAGTCACCTAAACTTTGCCCTCCATTTATATTACATCTGCCCAGTATTGCCTAATCAATTGGTAATCTATATACTAAGTCTTTTTTAAACAACAATCCAATTAATCTGATACTAGTTCTGCTCAAAGTTGCTATCTTTTTCTCTCTGTAGCTAACAAGGAATCAGTTTGGACCAATGTATACTTGATGAACTTTGTTTCGGAGTTATAACTCATAGTCATAGATTAGAATTATACATTCGCTTATCAATTCCTAATGGATATTCTTTTTTTAATTTTCAGTACTTCAATAACTAACGGTTGTTCTTGAAGTGCTCGATGATGATAAATATCTTTCAGTCAGAGAAGTGCTCGATGATGACGGTTTATTACTTGGGATGTCAATTGGACTGGCCCGGTCTAGCCTAAAATTTGTAAAGCCTATCATATTATTAATTAAAAAGCAAGTTGGGCTGTGGTTAAGAGTTATGATGGTTGATTACTTTTTGCCTCATATATGAAAATACTTTATTTATCCTTAATCAAATTAAAAATTTAATATAATCTAATTTTTAATTGATTTTCGATTTTTTTTAAACCTAAATTTCTAAATTTGATTTTATATCATAAAAAATATTCAGTTTACTAAAAAAAATAACTAGCATAATCACAAAAAAATTAATCGAATCCCGCACAAGGTGCGGAAAAACACCTAGTATATATTTAAGTTCGACCTGGTTAGACTTGAAAAACTATTGGACCTATATTCTAAAGTTAGGCTTGGTTTTGACCTGAGTTATAAGGTTTTTCGGGCTTTTTAAAAATTATTAAAAAGCAAATAAATTATTAAAAATAAATTTAAATCAAACAATTATTCATGTGGTTTTATCAGATTCAACAAGTTAAAAGCTTTACGTTAACTTTAATACATTCAGATTATTTATAATATTAAATAACAATAAAAATTATAAACACATTAAATCTATATTGTAAAGATTGTAAAGATATATAAATCCAATTTTAAGTTTCCGATTATAGTTTTCGATTCATTATAAATATATCTAATTTATCATTTTTAAACAAAGTAATTTTGTAATAAAAATCTTTAAATTAACTATAATATAAATTGATTCAATGAAAAAATTGAAAAATGAATTTTTTTTAATAGTTTATTTGCTAGTTCTTTTTTGGTTATACATACATTTTCACAAGAAATGCAAGACTTTTCAAATAAATACGTGCCCACTCGGACTTAATTCCAAAAATTAATAAACCCGAATGGGCTTGGCCTCAAAGGTCCAGTTTTTTTTTAAACTTGTATATCAAAACCTAAGCACGCTAATTTTATGGGCCAAATCGGGCTATATTTCAGATTTTATCCATAATTGACATCCCTATTTTGTTACTTACTCAGCCTCTTTAGTGCATGAAGTTATTTTACAGCATTATAGAAATCACAAATACATTTTTTTATTATACGAGAAGGCTTATTAAAAGTGAAAAAAACTGATGTGTCATTTAGTATTTTCTATTGTTGATCTGAAAATAGGACATTTCAAATTTTTAAAAATAAATGAAATTGTTGAACCAGAAAATCACCACTAGGGTTTGACTAACAGTTGTGGGTTTCAGAGAATAAAATCTTTTTATTATTAGCAAGAAAGCGTAGTGATTACAAAGAAAATGTATAACTGAGAGGTTATACCGAAGTGAAAAGAAGATTTGCGAAGTAAACTAGAAAACGTTGGAGTCTCCCGTTTTAGCTCTGCTGCTCTCTAGAATGTATTGGATGGATCCTCTAGTCTTTGGGGTCTTTGTATTTATAGGGATAGGAGGTCGGTTGCTCCGAACTCCTTTTCCTTTTCTCTTTTGTGAATGTTTCCATATCTATGATATGGTAACATTTCTTATTCTCCGAAAATTTTGGAAATTCTCCCTTATCCTTTTATCCGAGCTAAGTCGGCACGGTCTTCCTGGTCTTGATGGGCTTAGGTTATTTCGAGGGAAGGCTTTTTAGGGAATATGCTCATTTCCCCTCTAACAGTAAGTCCCCCCCCCCAGTTTGGCGAGACTGATTTGTAAATCAGCTCGGCGGACTTCATGAAGTTGTAGATTGGTCTGACCTCGTAATAACTATTAGTTCGTCAAGAGTGTCGCTTTTGTGGTAGCCAGCTCGGCTTGATTTGAAGCGGATTTTCCATGCGGCGCTTTTATTGATTAAGTATTCTGACCCATTAGGGTTTCTGCTTTGAAGCGGGAATTGTGGAGGATTCGCCAAGCGGCGAGATTTGTAAAAATCTTGACACGCATCTTCATAGGAAACTGTTGATATTTGTTTCTGATTTTGTTTACTTTACCTTTTACCTCTTCATCTTCTTGCTTTAGAGAATCTTTGTTTCCTTTACCGATTTCTGTGTCGATCTTTCCTTGCTATTAAAATTTTCTTCTCGACAGCGATATGGGTCTAAAGAGAAGAAGCAAAATCCCCTTGTTGGATGTTGATATTTCTGATTTTTCTCCGAATAAGAAGCCTAGATTGGAAGATTTATCGCAAGGTCCCGCGAAGGAGGGGTCAACTTCGGAGATCCGGGCAGAGGATTCAGGTGCTGAGTTGCCGATTGGAGAGGAGGAGTTCTTTGAGACGGCCGAGGAGCATTCGTCGGGTAAAGACGCCTTATCGAAGGAATCAGTGGATGTTGGTGATGAACCCGGCTTTAATCCTCACGAATTCCTGCTTCGTTGGGGTGGGAATTCCCCGGCGATGTTTGATGAGTATTTTGCAGCGAATTTAGCTTGGTCATGTAGGGAGAAGCCTAACCAAGGGATGCTGGTAGAGAAACTGAAGCGATTTTCTTGCTTTTCCGGGATGGTGCGGTGTTTAATGCATGGTTTAGGTCTATGCGCGTCTTTGGTTGAGTCATATGATAAAGAATCTGTACGGGAGGAGAATCGGGTTAGGGAGTCATCAGAAAAAGAATGGGAACTTCATGACGCTCTGGCGAAGAATAAAGATCTTGAACGCGAGAAGCTTAAGTTAGAACTTGACTATAAGTCGCTTGAGATTGAATCTGCCAAAGAGATAAAACTCCTCAAATTGAATCTTGAAAAGAGCAAAGCTGAGGAAGTTAAGAATGCGGCTGCTAAGGAGAAGGAGTTCCGAGATCATCAGCACATCTCAGTTGATCGTGTGGTGGATTTAGTGTACCGACATCTTCGCGAATGGTACGACCCACGCATCGAGAGGATTAAGAAATTTATGGCGCAGGAATCCGACATTCAACGGCTGGAATTTCAGATTGTTGATGCCGAGGCGAGGGTAGATTGTTATAAACAGCTCAGGTCGGCGGGAAAGGAGATCCCAGTTGAAGAGCTTTTACTTCATTCTGCCGCAGTCGATCGTTTAAAGATGGAACGTCATGATATCCATGATGCTCCAATTTCATCAGATGACTTTGCTGCACCTACATGTGTTCATATGCGCCCTCCTGATGCCAAGTTCATAGCAGCAGGGATCTGGTTGCCGAAGCGTCGTAGGGCTTTATAATAGGGATATTTTTAATTTTGCTGTTGCTTTTTTTTTGTAAAAAAAATGCCTGTATTAAATGGATTTACATTTATCCTACGTGTTTCGTACTTGTTTTGACGAGTTAGACCTTAATTCTAAGGTTTTTGCGAAGTCAAAAATTCTTTTGTCTTGCGGTGCATAAGCATTCTTTAGGCCAATGCTGGAAGCGAGATTCATTAGCTCGTCTTATACCAAACGACATTCAGGATCGAATACCAATTTTTTTTAAATTTCTTCTTTGGTCCGAAAGGTATGATCAAGAATCGTGCGAGTATTGTCCTCGGCTTTCGTCTTATATGCTTTGAATGTAATTAAAGCAAATCGAAGCATCAAAGGAGTGGTGATCAGCCACTTATTTTGTTTGCTTGCTTTCTTTGAATCGAATGTTTGGCCAAAACATCGATTCAGCAAGATGCATTCGCATATAGCTCTATTTTGTCGAGCTGAGGTAGTTTTGTGAAAGTGATTTTATTAAGATAGTGACTGGACCCGAAGGCTGCCTACGTACCCGAAGTGAGATCAAGTCATTCATAGTTCTTAGAAGTACATTATTTGTCGATTTCATTTTTAAGTATAATATTTCCTTAGATTCATGGAATTGCGAGCTTGCTCGATTGGCTCTCCCTTCATGTCTTCTAGCCTATAGACGCCGGGTTTAACGACTTCTGTAATACGGTATGGTCCTTCCTAATTCGGCTCGAGTTTCAAAGGGTTTATGGTTCTTTGTAAGACGAGGTCATAAAATGAGAACATATCAGCTTCAGACTTTCTTGTTGTAATACCTAGACACTTGCTGCTGGTAATTTTGAGTTCGTAACAATGCTTTGTTCACGAAGTTCTTCTGTATTGTCGACTGCGTCGATTAGTATTTCTTCGTTCAGTTGAGGATGTTGAATCATCAAGGAACGCCGGGTACTTGGTACATGCAGTTCGTAAGGTGCTAAAGCTTCACAGCTGTGGGATAGTGAAAAAGGGTTTTCTCCTGTGGCAGTCCACAGATGCGTTCGGTGAGACACGAGGACTCCGTCTAGTTCGTCTGCCCATCGCCCCTCTAGTTCATTTAATCGTTTTTTGAAACCATCGAGGATAGTTTTATTTGAGGCTTTAGCTTGTCTGTTACCTTGTGGGTAGCATGGTGTTGAGTAACTTATGCGTATCCCCCATTTTTCACAGAAACTTCGAAAAACTGACGAAGTGAACGAAGTGCGTTATTCGTGACGATCTCATATGGGAGGTCGTGTTGGCATATGACATATTCCCAAATGAAAAGTTGGACATCGATTCCCTTGAGGGTGGGGTAAGCTTTAGCCTCGACCCACTTCGTAAAGTAATTTGTAACCATCAGGATGTACTGATTGCGGCCTGACTTGGGCATCAGGCCGATCGCGTCCATTGCCCATCTCATGAAAGGATATGACAGAACGGCAGTTTGAAGCAACTCGGTGGGCGTGTTAATGGCCAGAGCGTATTTCTGACATGGCTCACATCAGAGTGCGAACTGTTCGCAATCTTGGACCATCCTGGGCTAGAATAGGCCGTGCTTCTTGATTTTTAATGCTAAAGCTCTTCCTCCTGAGTGATTTCCGCCCACCCTGTCATGGGTTTCTACCATGACTCTTTTGGCTTGTGCCTCATCGCAGCATCGCAATATTATTTTATTTACTGTCCATCGGAAAAAGTTTCCATCCTGCATGAAATATTGCATCGCTTTCCTTCGGAGACGTCGAGCTGCCCATCTATCTTCCGGAACCGTTCCTCCCAATAAGTAGGCTTTGATTTTGTCTTGCCAAGGCTGGTTCTGTTGTTCG